AAAAAGACAATAATATTAATATTTATATTTATACTTACAAATATAACACAATGAAATCTTTTCAATCAAAGTTCTGCTTTCTTATTTACTTCTTCATCGTTCGCAGACACCCAAACCCTAATAAACAACCACCAGCCCTAACACCGAAAGCAATATGCGTCTGCTGTACTACAGCACTGATTCGTTTAAACATATATACTTCTACCTCATTTAAATAATCTAAAAACAAAACCTTTTATCTTTATTTAAGTCAACTAATATATATATTCATTCACTTCTTCCCAAAATGCATTTGAACTGCAACACATAAAGGGCATACACTCGATGATAGAAGACGACAGGGGCAGCAGAGTGAAGCACTTTTACTAATATTAGGAAAATTATTATATTAAAAGAACAATATAAATAGTATTGAGTAATTATGTATTAAAATATTCAACCGTAATAATAATATAAGTATCAACAGCTTTCTTGAAACTCAGACAGGAGACAGAAGAATGAACAAGAAATACTTCTGTGAATATCTGCGCTTGCTGATGCATGCACTAACATTGCTAGCAGTTATTAGAAATTTAGTTGGCATCCCTTGTTGTATTTTCTCTTGTCTTTCTCTCTGCTCCACATGTTTTCGTGATTATGCAGCAGCATATTTCCTGACATCCACATATGTATATATATATATATATACATATATATATATATATATACATTTATCTACATATATACATATATGTATATAAACATATATATATTATATTCAAGTGATAATTATCGGCAGTATGTATGCATATTTTATATATATTAAGAATAATAAGGTGGTGGGTGTGTAGGTGGTTGAAGCATGCAAAGAAAACTTTGCCTTCTCCCCAGTTATTTGCAAATGGTAGATGAGGGCTGAGGAATTGTTTTTTAGTTTTGTTTGATTCAAGTGCATGTTCTGGGCAATCCTTTAAGCCCTATCAGCACAAAGACATCTTCTTTAAAAACAAACAAAGAGAGAAAATAAATATATCTAAAATATATCTCAGATAGAAAATAGATATGTGTTCGTAGGAAGCCTCTTTAATCTAATTCGATGCTATCTACCCCGCTGCTTCGCTCTGACGCTGCCACTTGCTGATCGCTGCTGCTGCGGTATGTAGGGTAATAGTGAGGGCCCTATCCGTTAGGAATAGACTGTCTGGCTCTGTAGTAACGACAAAAGAGTAGAGATAATATTTGAAAAAGCAATATTAGCTTGCAGCCCAACCTTCAGGCCTTCAGTGGATAGATGTTCATAGAGAGTTGGGTTGATATTAATAAAGACAAAGAGAAGAACAGCACATATGCTGTGATATGCACTGCACTTCTTCTTACAAACCGTACAGCGAAGAAACCCCCGGTGAAGGTATACCCAAATCTTCTTTCTTTTTCCTGCATGCACAAACGCATTAAACAGCTCATAATCGCTTACATCTCCTCATTAGCAAACTTACAGTCGTTTCTAGATGTACGCAGCAACTTCATCGGGCGTGGGACTCACGCTCAAAACATTTAGGTATTTTATATATATAATATATATATATATATATATATATATATAGATGTATATAAGGAAACCGCACGCATGCGCTGTTTTATTTTGATGATATGCGAAACCGTGAGCACTGTTGTACTCTGCATGCATCTCTGCAAAAGTTCATGCATGCAAGAAGGAGTTGTGCTTGTTGTGAGGCAAACAGCAGCCTTGCAAAGTAGTGTAAGGGCTGTGAATGAGGGATTCAGGGTTCTAACTGCGAAGGCAACCGGTAGAAGACGAGCATAAATGGAAGGACTATTGCAAAAAAGGCAATTATGGTGCTAATTTGAAGTATTTCAACACTTTTAGTCGGTTTTCAGTACTCATGGATTATCAGGGCCTTTCGGGTGTATGTGCAGCATCACTTGTGCAGATTCCAACAGTATAAATATGTTTATGTGCCGAAACTTCTTGAAAATCAACTTTCATAATTATTTTTATTTAATTTTAATTTATTATGTTAATTATTTCAGTTGTTATTCTGCCTTTTACATACATTGCCGATGGGGTGTCTGCTGGACTTCGCTGTTGAAACCACCGGTGCGGTTACTGCGGGTAAATGCATGAGTGTATTCTTGTTTTTCAAGGGAGAACATCTTAGTTTAAATACTGAATTTAGAATTAAACCTCAATTTTACATTTAATTCAACAAATAATAGTCAATGTTGAAGGAGTTTATGTGGCTGCAGGCTGACTGTGCTGATGGTGTGCGAGAGCGAGCACCGCCGCTGCTGTTTCTATATCTACCGCAGCAAAGTTCTTTCAAGCTTCATTGTTTTCCTTTCTGCATCTTTTTAGTCTATTTTCTTGTCAAGTAGCAATAATAGAAAGGGTTTATACCCGGTTATCACGAAAAAAACATCGAATTCTTCATCTTTTCCTTCGCCTTATAGTAGCAGCCCGCGCTGCCTTCTTCTTTTTTCTGTAGGAAAACAACGCGGAGCGGCCGTTTATAATTCAGTGAAATGCATTATTTCTTAATCCTAAAAAGCCGAAAAAACCGAAAGAACGGTTAAAACAGCAGTATTATGCTATTTAATTGACTCTTATTATCCAGGTGCGTGTACACCCGAACCTCCGCATACACTGCAGACGACTCCTGACTTCTTCTTTGCCTTTTGCTGCATTTTCCTGCAGAGATTAGCTCTTTGCGTATCCTGTACACTTTATCCTTTAAGTGAGGAGACAGCGAAAAACGGCGGAAGATGGCAGACGCGCTGCCCGGGTGTTGCGTCTTCTCTTGTGCTCTAGACCAATCAAAACAAAAAACAAATTAATAAAAAGCCAATGAAATCGATCACAAAGTTTGTTCATTTCTTTTGCCTCTTCTTTCATACACAACGATGTCCCTCTTCTTTGCTTGTTTGTCTCTGTTTACGTTGTTTGTTTGTTTGTCTTCCCCTCGTCTGTTTATTCTCCTCCTCGTTTATTCTTTTATTTATTCATTCTTGCAGTTGTGCACTTTTTGCTCATTTGATTTGTTTGTTCTTGTGGTAGCTTATTTTCTTATTTGTGTATTGTCTTGTTTGCTATTCTTCTGTTTGTTTTTTTCTCGCTTGTGTTTGTTTGCAGACGTCTGGGTTAGGGGTCCTCTAAACGCCTTTGCCTTTTTCAGTCATTTTGTTTGTTTGGTGAGCATCAGACAAACAAAAAGATATTTGATTAAAAACGAAACGCTTTTGATGAAGGCAAGGGCTCTACCTCTTCTTCATTTTCTTTTTCTCTGTTTGTTTGCAGTTCAAGTCTACGCCAGGTGAACGCTGAGTGTTATTGTTTTTTTCTTTTTCTTCTCCTTTGCTTTGTTTGCTTGCCTTTATTCCCGGGTTTAACGACAGCTGCAAAACATACTCATCTTCTATTCTATTATACAGCTGATCGGGTTCGCTAAGGCATCCCTTACGGGGCTTTCTTTACTGTTGCTGCTGCAGTTGCTGCTGCTGCTTTATTTGCTGTTTTTGCTGCGGTTGCGGCTGTTGTTCTTTGTTTTGTGTAGTGAGGGCATTTGTTTGCTTGCTTTCAACAATGATTCATTCACCTTCTATCTCAGCCCCTCGTCTATCCCCTAATGCCTCCTTCATTTCAAATAAAACCAATGAAAGACGGAAGCAGACAATTAATTCTTCTTCTTGCATGTTAGAGCAGAAACAAATGAAGGTGAAAAGAAGAAAAAGCAGAAAAATAGACCTAAAGGATATCAAGAAGTCTCCTTTTTCTTCTTCTAGCTCTCTTTCTTCTTCCTCTCTCTCTCCTTTTTCTTCTTTTTGTTCTTCTTCCTCTTCAATCAGACGAGAAACAAAGAAGAAATCTGCTTCCTTTCACTCTAGAAGCTCTCACCGCAGTCACGCCGTGGGAAGTTTGACGGCTAGCAGCGGTTTGTATGAACTAACGCGGCAATTGTTGCTGGGGTGTTATATTTTTGTTGGTTTTCATGTTTTGTTGCTGCAATTCTTTCCTTCTGTCTTTACTCAGCTGCGATACCCTCCTCTTGTTGCTCATCCTTTGCTTCTGCTGCCTCCCCAAGGCCATCTATTTGGTCGCTTCTTCTCGTTTATTAACGGCTCTATCGAACACTTTGTCTTGCGAGGGGTGTTAGGCTCTGTAGTATTGATATGTTTGCTTCATTTGCTGCGTGCTGTGTTGCATCCTTTCACTATATCTGCTGTTGCAAGGAGTAGCAGTGAGTTGCTGCTGACTGCAGCAGGCAGCAACGCAACAGAAAAGGATATTACAAAAAGAGCTGGGGCCTTAAGGAGACTGCTACGTACAGCCTGGTGTACAGAAATTCGTTTCCAGAGAAGAAGAGAGCAGCTATGTGCATACCTCCTTGCAGTGGTGTGTCTATGTTTGACTGTTATTCAAAGCAGCAGCTTCATCTTCGGTGGCTGGACACTCAAAGCAATTGGTTTCCCTGATATTTATCTAGCAGCTATTTTTAAACCTGGGGGCCTCTGGGGAAATGCAACAGCAGCAGAGGTTGCGATGCAGTATTCAGATATTTCTCCATTCCCTCCGCAGCAACTAAAACAGGAAATAGAGGCACTCGAACCAACACAAAATAAACAACTGCTACTGTTGGTGGTGTTGTTCGGCTTCGCATTGGATACCTGGGGGCAATACTTGCAGGTCTGTTCTGCAGTAAGAAGAGCATTTAAATGAAAACTAATTTTCTAGTGCTTTCGCCTTCTTTAGAGCTATTTCAACGGAACAGATACATGCAGAAATAGCATATCAGACGTAGATGCGGGCGTTTCTTGTGAGTAATGCTTTTTATTCGTTTTCCCCGCTACATTGGAACGAGAAACGCGTACAGTTTTGTTGTCCATTTGAATGAACATTTGGCTGGTTGTTTTAACTGTTTGTTTTAAATCCTCAGATTAAAGCCATAAGGCGCTATCTCAGCAAAAAATGCCTCTGCTTTTTCATTTGCCTCTTTACTGTTGTTATGTCCTTTGCTGCATACAACCTTGCAGGGGCTCCCTCATGCAACTCGAAGGTGCGTTTGTGTTTGCATTCAATCATTAATTGATTAAATAATTATTTAAATAATCAATCAAGTGATGCAGATTTCTTTATTCCATGGTATTTCAGTATTTTAATCTGTTAGGCGTTTGCTTATTTCTGCGCGTTTCGCTGTCTTTTAATGAGAAGATGGGCTCCATTGCTGCGGTTTCCTCTGAATAAAAGTATAAATGAATTGATCTGCCGTATTTTTAGGATAATCACTGGGTTGACTTTGACGCGGAGAGGGGAAAAGGGCATTTTGTTGAAGCTGACGGCGCATACTTGTCTGCAAATCCGCCTATTTTGTATTCAACTTATGTAGAGATGCGCGATGGTGTTCGTCTCGCTGCCGATGTTTATTTGCCTTTTTCTATTGAAAAAGAAGCTAGGCTCTGGAGTGAGCTGCAACACAAACAAATGGTGATTCGTCTTGCCGCTGAGAAAGTAGAGGCCAGCTTGGCAAACGGAAGTAATCGTGAAAAACAGAAGAAAACAGAACACCAACAGCATCAAAAAGACAAACACGAACAACAGCAAGAACAAGAACAAGGAAATGAACACGAACCCCAGCATGAACAGAGGAAATTGCAAGAACAGCAAGAAGAAACCCAGGGAAACCAACACGAACAAGAGCAAGAACAAGAACATGAACACACACACGAACAAGAAGACGAGAAGGAATTGCATAATAATAAGAAACAGCTTCTTTCTTTCTTGCGACGCGTCGAGGCAAAGTTGAAAGAAGAAGAAAACCATCTACGATCTACTGTGCCGAAGCTTCCAGTGTACTTAGAAATAACACGATATAACCGTCGATCTGAACATTTTTGGCCTTTTACTCTTCTTTCTATTTGGCGGCATCCAAGAGGAGCTTCCTTAAATGTTTGGAGTTGGCAGACGCAACAGTTTCTTGTTGCTAATCAGTATGCAGTTGTTGTTGTGGATACAAGAGGATCAGGTAAGAACAGATATACGCGTTTGTTTCGCTTTTACAGAGGGTTTACTCTTTATTTATTTAGGTAACTGTTTGTGTGAATATTTATTCTAGATTTCTACCCTGACAGTTAGTTTGAGGTGCGGCCTTTGTGTACTTCTTTATGAATCTGTTTACATGCATATACGTATTTATGTATTTATTCATTAATTGGTTTGTATTTATTTACTCTTTGCTTTTTAGTATTTGCTCACTTACTTACGTGTACGTATTTATTGCTTCGTTTTAGTCTCATAAAACAGTTCACCGCTACAATCTTCTCCTCTTCCGCAGCAAGCAGCACTAGCAGCTTTCTTCTACAGCGGTTTGTATGTGAAATTTGCATGCAGAGGCATCCACATGCAAACATCCATATGTTCACCGCTGGCTCCATTTGCGTGCATTCATTCCCTCTTCCCCTATCTCTCCATGCATATATATGTGCATTCATGAATAAATAGCATATATATATATATATATATATATATATATATATATTTATAAACGTACATATATATACATAGATACATATAGTATATATACATATATATAAATGTGTGTATATATGTGCTTTTATAATGTATATATATATATGCGTGTATGTGTAGGGGCTTCTTTTGGGTATCGTTCCGTTGACTTGGGTGAAGATGAGTTGTTAGACGCCGAAGAACTTGTGCAGTGGAGCAGAGATCAATGGTTTTCTTCTTCAAAGATAGCAGCAGGGGGCTTATCATATGATGGAATGCTAGGGCTTTCAATAGCAGCAAGAGGCAAAGTAGATGCTGTGCTTTCTCTCTTTTCTCCTATTGATATTATGAACGAACTCGTCGCTCCTGGGGGCTTCTTCTGCCACTCCTTTTTAAATGATTATACAGGATTAACCACTGAATTCGAAAGGAATGGGTCGCCCTGGAGACATATGCTCAAAAGCCCTCTCCAATTTCCATTCCATGTGCTGCTTGGGGTGAGCGGCAAAGTTACAAATATCTATATATGCATTTATATATACGTATATATACATATATATATATATATATATCTGTGCGCGTGTATATACCTAATATATATATATATATATATATATATAACTATACTTATCAATAAAGGTGCATGCGTATCAATTAGCGTATATAAATATATATAAATATGTCTATCTATGCACGTGTATAAATGCATGTGTATAAATATGCATATTTATTATTATTGTTAGCACTGATTAACGGTAGCGGCATGATGCAGCAGCTAATCTTCTGTTGCGTTTTACTGAAGTAACAAGAAGAGAAAACAATTAAAATCTTATATTATAATAACAATAATAATTATCTTTTTTGTTTTGTTCTGTCTTTCAACACTTCCACAAAACAATCACCAAGATGAAGTCTATTCAATTTACTGTATTCGTTTGTTGCTTCTTTTTGTTTTTTCATTTTCGTTTCTCTTTTTAAATAATAATTTCTGCTAAATAACAACTTCAGCCGGAAGCTGCATTTCTCTTCTTTTATGCTGTTGTTCTTTCTTTTTCTGCTGTTATTGAAAAGAAAACCCTAAAGAATAACTTCAGCTGAATGAATTGGTTTTTCCTGTTTACCATATTTCTGTTTTTTCCTTCTCTTTATATTAAAAGAATAACTCTTGGCCGATGAAGTTTTTTTTCGTTTGTTTGTTTGTTTGTTTAATATTATTTTTTTCTTTGTCTGTTTTTGTAGTATAAGAATGAAAAAATACACCAACATGGAACAAACAAAAAGACAATAAAACGAACAACCTCTGGTGAATGAAGTATTTCTTCTTGTTTGTTTGTTTCTTTGTTTGTTTATTTGTTTAATGCTGTTTCTGCATGCAGTTTTTGTTTTCTTTTGGAGGCAGCAGCGGCGTTATTGGGTTTGAAGCAGAATTACCTCTGGCAATTCTAAGCCACAAGAAAAACTGGAAAATGACGGAGGCAGTTAGTGGAGTGCAGTTTTATGATGATGCTGTTTCTTTTGGAGAAAACTTGAAGGCCCAGCCTTCTTCTTTTGGTATTACACCTCAGATCATGGAGACGCTTGCCCAGCAAAAGGTAATACATACCTTTTTCTCACTCTTTAAGAACAACAAAGTTCAAGTACTCTTAGTGCTAGTCCTAACGAACGGCATATAATACTGTTTATTCTACATATATGTATATATATATATATATATTATAGTGCTGTGACCCATCGGAGCAGAAGAAGGCTGAGGGGGCAGTTAGGGTTTAGGGTTTATGGTGGCGGAGAATTATCTGGGATGTAGGGTTTAGGGCGTAGGCTTTAGGGTTTAGGGTTTCTCAACAGGTCAGCCTGCTGGCAGTCGGAGGGTTTTGTGATTCTGCAACCGCTCGAGGCGCCATTCGTCTTTTTTCGTCTATGCAGAAAAACGCACCAGAAAGCCGGCAAGTGAAAAACTGCTTCTTTTCAATGCTCCAGTCTCTATGGTTTATGGTTTAGGGTTTAGGGTTTAGGGTTTAGGTTTTACGGCTTAGGGCTTAGGGTCTAGGGTCTAGGGTCTAGTGTCTATGGTTTAGCGTTTAGGGTTTAGGGATTAGGGTTTGGGGTGTAGGATTTATGGTTTATGGTTCGGCGTGTAGTGTTCACAGTTTAGGGTTTAGGGTTTAGGGTTTAGGCGTTCCACTCCAATTGCACTTCTATGGATTGAAGTAAGAAAACATCATAATTGGGCGTAAGAGGCTAGGGAGGCATTTAAAAGTAAAATAAAATGCTTTTATTTTGGGGTGTATATACACCTCAGGCCGCAACTTATCCTCGGAAACTGGAGCCACGGCGGTAGAAGAAGCTGCGATCCTTTTGGAGGGAGTTTTTCTTGCTTTGAATCCGATCTTTATAAAACCATTTTAAGGTTTTTCGACTGTCGCCTTAAAAAGAAATGCTGGGGAGGAGTTGAAGAGGAAATGCCCGTTCATTATTGGCAGGTATTTCTTCCTGCAGGTGTATAGACACCCGGTGGTGCTTCTTACAATTATATATATATATATATATATATATATATGTATATATATATATATGTGTATAGGCGTGTAGTCACCTTTGTATATTAAGTATACTGTTCTAATATGCGACCTTCGTAATATAGTTAGAATGTGCGTATATCAATCTGATGGGTATTGAATATACAAATTTATAGTGGCTATGTCTAAGTATATGCAATGGAATGGGAGTAAAATATTCTTTGATATATACTCTCTTAGGGCCTTCTCCTCTGCTGCAGACGGGGACTGCGGAGTGGAGAGAAGCCCTTACTTTCCCTCCAAGAGAAAACATGAAAAATTTCGATTTGCGGCTGACAGACAAACGCCTCTCCGATGTGCAGCTAGAAGAAGGTAATTAAAACCTCTAAGAAAGATTGTTCTGGGGCTTAAGGCAGAGGCCCTGAGTAGAGAGACACGGCGAGCAGACAACATAAACAAACAAATAAAAAGAAACAAATCAATGCAAACAAGCAGACAACAGCGAAAGACAGAAGAGAGAGAAAGAAATACCGCAACAGGCAGCAACACGAAATGATAAGTAGAAATGAATTATGAGTAGTGTATACAGCCCTGTTCCTAGAGGTGAACAGCTTATGCTGTTTGGAGTGTCTGTACACCTAACGGTTGAAGGGCATTTTGCGTGTTATTTGGTGATTGCTTTCCGGTCTGGTATGCGTTGTTGGGGGTCTGTATACAGCTACTTATTGTTGGGTTTTACTTGTGTTATTTGGGTTGTCTGTGCACCTCGTTGTAGGACCTGAAGAGGCGTTTTCTGTGAGGAACGAAGGGCTGGGCAGTTTATTTGAAGTGTATAGACACGGCTTGGAGCACACGCTACATGATGTAACTCAAAAAGTGCAGCACTACGCAAATATGCTGGAGTTGCAAGAGGAAGCTCGGGTGTCTGCTGACCTCCTTCGTTCGGCTTCCTTACCATCTTCACCAGCAGCAGCAGCAACAACAGCAGCAGCAGCAGCAACAGCAGCAGCGGATGAAGTAGCATCGTTATCTTCGCTGCATGCTGCACCAAAAAGAATACACAAAAAAGAAAGGAGACCCTCCAAACTCTCTCAACTTCTTTCGGGTTTATTGCTAGCCTTCCTACCTCAGCGCCAAGCAAACAACGAAAGAAATTTAAAGCAATTATTTAACCATGATTTCAATGCACATTTGATGCAGCTACCCCCCCTTCCAGACGCCGCCGAAACAAACGCAGTAGCAAGCAAACAAACAGTAACAACAACACAAGCAGCAGCAGCAGCAGCAAACAAACGGACCGAAACAGCAGCAGCAACATCAGCAAACTCCTCCCAAGCAGCAGCAGAAGCAGAAGCAGCAGTAGCAAACTCTCTAACTGCTTTCCAAGTGAGTATGGTGTACGATTGAGCTGGAGGTAACAACAACCCTTTTCTTTTTTCTCTGTCTCTGCCTGTTTTTCTTTGAAGAAGTGATAAAACAGAACAGAGAAGATATTGATATAAAGGCTCCGAGATAAACAAACAAAACGAGAGAAGAGCAGATTGATATTGCAGTGCTGCACATCGCATGCATTGTTTTCGTTTTTTATGCAGGCGGCAGAAAGAAGTGTAGATTATGAAGTTGAATATCTTTCTTCTTCCGGGGAGTATTCTCGCTGGCCGATAGCACAGCATCCTTTTCGTTTGTTTATTAATTATGGCAATCGTTTATTCCTTAAGACGAAGCAGCCGGAGTTTAGCCTGAGTTTAGGTGTATCTACAGATGAAGACAAGGAAAGAGAACCCTTTAGTTTCTCTCCCTTTACTCCATCACAACTTCTTGCTCGTCCCCTTTCTTTCTTATCTCAACCTCTAGAGAGGGATTTGCAAATGGTTGGTAGCGCTTTTCTTAATCTCTTTATTAAAGCCAAGCACTGCAATGAAATCAGCCTCTTCGCTTATCTTGAAGACGTTGATGTTGCAGCAGGTTTCTCTCACTATGTTACGGAGGCACAGGCAAGCGACTTATCTTCTCATTTACTCCCTTGTACACCGTGAACCCAAATACTAACACTCCCCTGGGGGAAGGATTTATTATTAGGGTTTGTTATTATTAAGGGTTATTAGGGTTTACTTGGGTTTAGTAGGGTTTCATACGGTTTACTCGGGTTTACTAGGGATATTTAGCGTGTTTTAGGGTTTACCAGGGTTTGCGAGGGCTTATCAGGGTTTACTAGGGTTTATTAGGGCGTATTAAGGTTTACGATGGTTCATTAGGGTTTATTAGGGTGTACTAGGGTTTACGAGGGTTTACTATGGTGCAGAGGGTTTACTATGGTTGAGAGGGCTAATAGTCTTTGGGGGTTCGTGGTTTTAGGGTTTAGAGTGTCTATTTTTAAGGGTTTTGAGTTAAGGAGTTCGTCATTGCGCCTTTTTTAATGATGTATTGTATGTAATGTGTATTGTCTATTGCGCGTTGTTTAGGGTTTAGCGTTTGGGGTTTAAGGTTTAGGGTTTCGGGTTTCGGGTTTAGGGCCTACAGTTTAGGGTTTGGGGTCTACGGTTTAGGACTTAGGGATCAATGTTTAGGATTTAGGGTTTAGGGTTTGGGTGCAGGTGTTGGCTTCCAACCGGCCATCGGAGGTCCGCGATGATTTGCCAGTTGGCAGTTATGGCCGCGTGCTGAGGCCTTTCTCTAGAAAGAGTTACAAACCAATTGAAGGTGCGTCTTACAATATTTTGTTTTTTTGTTTATTTGTTTGTTTCTTACTTGTTTGGTTTGTTATTTGTTCTCTTGCGTATTGGGAACGAAGCACAAACCGATTGAAGGCGTCTATTATATTCACGTATTTGTTTACTTGTTTCTTTGTTTGTTTATCTGCCAGTTGCGCATACAAATAATATATATACATATGTGTTTATATATTTAGGTTTATATGTAAGTGTTGGCAAAACATACAGCTCTATACCTTCATGTATATAATATATATATGTGTATATATATATGTTATACATAATATATATATGTATATAAATAAGATACATATATTTGTATATATATATATATATATATATATATATCATATAACTACACTGCCGTACAAACAAATGCAGCAAACAAAGATTAAGTTTGTTTGTTGCATTTGTTTGTATGTTAGTGTTTGTTTGTTTATTTGTTTGTTTTGTTCGTTTGTATGCCAGTGAGACAAATGAACTGTGTGTATATATTTAGGTCCTTTGTTTTTTGTGTTTATTTTTTTAAGTTGCTTACTTGCGTTATATTTTATTTGTTTTTGCATGAATTCCTCTGCACCAGCCCTGAGTAGTTGCTTTTAATGGTGTTCACTTCTGTTCTTCCTTTTCTTTTCCCTTTTTTTTTCTTTTTCTTTTTTTTCTTTTTCTTGCTGTTGTTTGGATATAGAAAGGGAAGGGGTGAATGCGTTTGTTAGTTTTAACCCAACTGCGTGGGTGTTCATAAGCCTTCATTTGATGAATGACATCTATTTCTGTTTTTTCTCTTTTCGTTTTCTTTTTCTTCTTTTTCTTGTTGTTGCGCGCATATAGAGGACGAAGAGGTGAATGTGTCTGTTAACTTCGAGCCGACTGCATGGACGTTTAAGAAAGGGCATTCTCTTCGTTTGCTATTAACAGGAAGTGATTTAGAGAACTTCCAACTAAACCCGGCGAAAGAAGTGCTGCTGCCAAGCCACTGGAAAGTCCTTACTTATTCTGCGTTTCTTTCAATCCCTCTCTATGATCACCCTTCTGCACAACAGGAATAATACCGTTTTCTCTCTCTCTCTCTGTGCATGCATGCATGCATGCATGCATGCATGTACAGCTAACACACTATACATGCATATATATATATATATATATATATATATATATATA